GATTCCCTCCCATCGGAAACTCAAGCGACCTATGGCACCGTGACTGGATCTTCAGAAGTCAGAGGTGATCCAAGACCAGTGAAGACATGTCAAACTACTCATGTCACTCTTTTGAGTAACAAAAAGATCTCCCCAGTTTAGGGTTTTCACCAGGTCCTCCCGAGACATTTCCTCACGAATCAGTACCAAGGCTTGCTCCAAGGTCGGTCTGTCTGGACGGTTTTGTTCGGAGTCTCTTCTCCTGGACCCACTAAGAGGATGCTACGAACGGAGCATTTCGGGCATCGCTACGAACGGAACAAGGACGCTACGATCGGGGCTCCTGGCCTTACTACTAGTAACAAGAAGCTATTAGAATTGGAACTTAATTAACTATACCCAGGCCCAATGGGTCGAGGCAGCACTTGGAAGATGGATGGAGCTCCAGCCACCCTCATTCTTTGAATTCGTTGCGTGCCCGGATGGACCGAGGGGGCTCACCAAGCTGGTTCGTCCGATGGAGCTTCGACCGGTTTCTGCTTAAACCAGCTGTCTTGCTGGTTTTGAGGAAGAAGAAGACCAAGAAGAAGTAGCAGTGGCTGAGTTGAATCCGAAGCAAAGAATGTTTCCCAAGGCTTAGAGCTCCTGATGTGGGTTGGATTTGTTTACTCATTGGATCCACTAAAGATGATGAGAATTCCTGCAGAATTCCTTCCTCGCGGTGCGAAGTGAGAAAGTGGATCCGAAAGCCCATCGGTTGCAAACTTGTTCATAGATGTAAAGGCAAACTGGTCAGAGACCTTGCCTAACGTGTGAGGGCTGATTCGGGCTGATCCATTCCCGGGAAAATGGATAGCAACCACTGGCAGTTCAGATCCAAGTGTAAGACCAGTTCAAAGGAACGTTCAACTCCAACAGCTCAATGTCTCAACCTCTTAGAGCTGTTAGGTCAGACACAGCGGAAGTTCCTACGCTGTTCGGATAAGCGTTCGACCCTGGCCCACTGAACTACACTGCTGTGCGGGTTCTTTTGAGGCCACAGATCAGCCTTCACGCGGGCGACCCATCTGGGCGCGTAGGTTTGGGGTGAAGAAGCCCCGCCCCGACGTAAAAAACGCATCAAAAAGCACGCCCACCCTGACGTTGCGAGCGTTTTACGTGGCTGGCATTCTGTTGGATGGTCAGAACTGAAGCTTCCATATAGATGGACATGTCAATTCCATTGAGACATGTTTTGGCATGTTTTTGTGTTTGTGCGGGATAGAAGCTACTAGTAACAAGGTGCATCGCCCACCCACCTTTCACGGGTCACTCAAGGGACTGCTCTTTTGATCCCAAAGTGAGATCTTTTCCACATCCGAATGGCCAAAAATGAAGAACCACGCATGGCTGCAGTCCTTGCAAAGGAACCGGGTCAATCACCTACTTTTGGTCGTCTGAGGAGATATTTCTTCCACTTGAACACGTTGCACTTGCACCAGAATTGCGGACATCAAATCATGTCCCATCTTGACGAAGACCATACCACCACCATGTCCCACTAGTTGACATGCTTGTGCTGAAAGGATCTGAATATGTAGCTTGTGTGTGTTTTGCTAGGATCTCGACGACCACGTGCACCCCGCACCACCACGTGCATCCGCCTGCCCTTTTGGACGTCTCAGATGGAGGGGTAACCAGACGTTCCAGGCCCGGGCAACCTCGCCGGCGAGGGACAATCCGAATGGAGGGTTGGGGGTTTGATGGTTCATAAAAACACACATTTTCCGGGTGTTTTTCCAAAGGATCAGGGAACGAGCAAACGCTGTGGATGCCGGTGCGGCTGGCAGAATACCTTTCGGAAGGAGTTTTTGGGAGGATGATGGACATGTGCTGGAAGTCGGAATACCTTGCGGCGCGGGCTTGCGGGGGACGATCACGTGCTGCATATGTGCTGGATGTCGTAGTACCTTGCGGCAGGGGCTGGAGGGGAGGGGTGCGGTCAGAGGACGATCGGTGTGTGGATCGCAGAATACGGAATACGGGTGATTCCGGCGTGCATTTGAGCTGGGTGTGGTAACTCCTTGCGGCAGGGGTGGGTGGGTAATGTCAGTGCACTGCGTGTGAGTGGAGGATTGGCGTGAGGGCCGTGTCCTTGCAACGGTTCATGCTGCATGGGCCAGTCAGTTGACAGCAGTAACGAAGAATGCAGCAGCGAGCAAGCGGCTTGCGCATTTGCAGATGCAACAATGAGACAGATGGTCTCCTTGCTCGCCCCGCTGAATGGATAAACATGGTACCTTGTTGGGGCGGAACACAACGCCACCACGATGCGGCGATGGGGGCGCATCAGGTGTATCAGCTTTCATGGCAGTTCGAGCAAGATGCTCTCCGCACATAGCTTTGCACACAGCTGTGCGTAGCAGCCGACCGTATCAGAACTTGTTTCAGGCTAATCAGGCAGCCGTTGACTGTCAATGCTCCTTTGACAAGCGCAGAGCCCCAAACAGTTCAGCAAACTTCGCCCGACCCATCACGAGCAAATTGCATGAAACAAATAGATGTGTTGGCAAGATCAAGTGCACAGGCGGGCGCTTTCTTCATGAGTTTGAGAGAGTGTGTGCCCGCAAGGACACGAGACACTAACAGACTGGACCCTCAACTTGTGAACAATGATGCAAAGCATTTCTGGCTGCGAGTTTTCTATCTGTTTTTCTCCTCCCTGAGCGCCTCATATTCTCTTCATATTATGTTCCTTTCCCTTTTGGTGGTTCTGGCTGCTTGCTACTGTAATTCCTGGCTTGGATGTTCTGCTTCGTTCTCCTGCGTCGCTGCCCACACGCAGATTTCACCAAAAACTAAACCGCCTTTGTTTTGCTTTTGGGTGCTCAGGTTCACCTTGTTTGGAAGTGTTATTGTTTTACACTAGCGTGTTATCTATCAGACCTATCGCTTCACAAATGATGGCCCTCTGGAGGAAAGATCAGCCCAGAAGTGAAATCTATGTACCAAAAGAGTGGCGCGTAGGTGGGGCAAAGCACGTCTAAAGGTTCAGATTGGTGGCCGCGCTCGAACGCAGGTGGTAGTGAAGAGTGACTTGGTTCAGGCTAAACTTGAGAGGTTACTGTGGTGACTTGTCGCCTGTATGTCCAAACCATACTTTTTCGATACTTTTTCTTACAAGGGTTCCCTATTTCAGTGCTATTTTTGCATTGCTTGCCTGAGGGCAGTGCATGACATATGCACCAGTCTCCAGCCTCCCGCTTTCTTGCCAGGTGCTGAGCCCGGACGTTTTGAAAAAACGAGCAGCAGCAGTTCAGCAGCCAGTGGAGTGGAGACTGCCAATGACCTCCGAAAACTCACCCTAAAGCTGTTCAAAACTCAGAGGATTTTCAACAATCCTTTTGACCCCTCACCTTTCCCACACCCTAGACTTCACCACCCTGATCTAGAATCGACATCGGAACCGCTGCATGTGACGCCGCTTGCGTACCGGGCGCAACCGCTGGTGCGCCCTAGCGCCCTTTCGGCCGCCCGGCGAAGAGGGGTGGTGTCAGGTGTTGATGGACGGGTCTGGAAACGGAGAGGGGTGGTGTCGGGGGGTATCTGTATCTGTGTTAGCATGATGGTTTCGATTGTGCAGAAAAAGAAACACAGAACCGGACACTGTTTGTTTTGATTTGACCAAGTTCAACAGAGTAGTCTCCAATGAGTCTCCATACTCATCTTCACTCCCGAAGCGTTCGGACCGGATGATCGATCTCCAGCGGCACCCGGTTCGAGCGACCTCTCAAGGCCATGGCAGATCGCAAGCGCATGAGCATCGGCGCGGTTACGCCCCCCATGGTGGGGTCGCGGTCCAGTGCCACCACTGAAAGAGAGGCCAGTTCTTTGGGATCGAAGACAGGGTGCGGAGGTGGAGAAGACAAAGAGATGTGGAGGCCATCGCGATATAGTAGTTGTTCTATGTTGTTCTTGTTTTCAACAAGGCGTTCAGGTGATGCAATACTGTCGATGTTCAAGGGCTTCGAGGCAAACATTGAACATCCTAGCAAATGCCATCAATGCTGCAACCTTTGCACTTGCTGTCATCATGTAGATTTCCTTCAGGATGAAGGGATTTTGTGGAAACCCCCCGGTGCATAGAAAAATCCACGGGGATGTAGACAAATACCAATTTTTGGGAACTCACTTTTGACATAAACTCCATGACACGTGTTTTGCCCCACGGTCCCATCATCTAAGTCAAGGAGAATGCAGGCTAATGCTTTTTTGGTCAACCATGTATGGGGATTTCTTCTCAATCTCCCCAAAAGGGAAAGCCAACCTCTAACGCAGAGCAAATGCATTGCGTGTCTTGGTGAGGCTGGCATTGCAGAGGCTGGGTGTTTGGCAGAGGGGTTCAAGAGCTCGGATGAAGCGCTTCTGGATCGATCTTCCAAGTAGGCAAGAGATCACAGGAAAAGACAGAAGAAAGGACATAGCCCAACACCCAGTGATTTCTGGCGCATTCTTTGGACGTTTTCATCAGGTCTTTGGCAAAGCCTGCGAGGAGAAAGCCAAAGCCATGTATGCCCGGCACCTGAGATGACCAGATTAGGGGATGAAGCTGGGAGACGTGGGCGGGACAAGGCCATGTTAACAGATCGTTTTTTTCCCCAAACAGTTTACTGTTAGGGGTTCTCAATGCTTTAAAGAATGGTCGCCTTGTGGGGTCTACGGTGGGGTAATTGGGATATGTTGAGCATTGTTGAGCCGTCTACTTGGTGAATGGCACTAAGCGCCTGTCGTGACGAATGGGCACAGCGCGCCCTGGAGCGAAGAACCGTTTCGCCCAAAAGCAAGCGGTGGGGTGTGAAACACCGCAGTCTGCGAAACAACGCAGTCTGCGAAACGCACCGCTCCTTTGCTTCGATTGCAAAAGGAAAAAACCACATGAAACCCCATGACCCAACCCCCACCCCGCTGCGTTGGAGTTTCAAGCCAAGCACACACGCCCCTTACGTGTGCACGTGTGGCCTCGCCCCTGACAGCTAGCCGTCATGAGCGGCCCGCTTCGAAGTGTGCTGACCTTCCGCAGACCTGCAGAAGGCATGGTGCTCCAAGAAATCCGACCTTTCCCAGACGAGGAGACCTGATGGAAGAACGAGGGTTTGGATGGATTTTTCGATTTTCATGTCGTTTTCCGAATGGAAGCGGACTCCATATGAATCAATGATAAGAGCGCATGCTCACATTCAATCTTGAGGGGTGGACCGAGTCGACCGAGTGACACTCGGTCCGTTCTTTTCGCCCGACCCAGGAGCCGTGCATTCTCTCAGTGAGAAGGACTTTCTTGGACTTGTCCCCGTTTCCCACTGCGCTGCCCCGCAGTGCGTCAGCTCCTGGGCGATCAGTGCAGCCGGTGCGTTCCAACTTCCACACGGCACCGACACCTTCCCATCCGATCCCATCACAACATCTCCAGGTACAGAGGGTGCCCATTCCATCGCTAACGATGGAAAGAGTGGGAGCTTCCCCACTCCATTTGGTGCCAGAGCGTGACACACGGCCAGGGCAGGCAATGACACACAACGATGCAGTGCGAAGGCCGCAGAATCTTCTTGGGGCACAGGCACTTGGTGAGGTGCAAAACCCGCCAGGGCAGCACAGCATGATCACGCCACAGGCATTGCAACTGACTGAGCACAGTCGGGAGCAGAATTTTTTGATGCCTCAGCACATGATGCAGCCATGGCAACAAGCACCAATGACACAGGTTGAGGCAGCGCGAGGTTCACAGCAACTAGACAGGGCACAGTCCGCAGTGTCTTCCTCTGCCGCATGTGATGCTCCCAGTCGGGCATCATAGTCCACCAGTGCTGCTTCACCAGGCAGCGGCAAGCCATGCATCGTCAGAGCCTATGAACAATCCAACACCTGCGGAATTGCACGAAGCAGGCGAATGTCAGCCTTGCAAGTTCTTCTACGGGGCCACTTGGCCAGTCTCCTGCAGCTGTGGTCAGTCACTAGGAGGTCCTGAACTTCGAAGACCACCACTTGCTTAGATGACTTGGAAGCCACCTAGGGGAGGAGGGCTCGTGTTTCTCACTGGGTCTAACAAAAGAGGGCAAGTCTGACAGGAGTCTTTGCTTTCATTGCGTTGGAAGTTGCGGGTTGCCACTTTTCCGCTTTTGGACGCGAAACGAAGACGACTTGGACAGACGGCGAAGACGGAAGGATCATGGACGCTTCAGATGCGAAGACAGGAAGCTCTTCAAGTGCATTGCTACTAGTAGCAAGAAGCTACTAGGTTGGAGGCCATCGCTATTAGGTTGGAGGCCATTACTACTAACAAGAAGCTACTAGTAGCAAAGGGCAAACTCCTCTTCTAGGCTTAACATCCTCATCTTCTAGGCTGCAAGTCTTCAAGGCTTCAAACCTCCAAAGGAAAGTCACCCGGTATTGCCAACACACTGTTAACTGTTATTACTTGTTTATTTTTCTATTTTAAATTTTAAAGAAACATTTTCTCATTCCCACATTTTCTGCTTTGGCTTATTTTGGCCTGTGGTCTGTATTCCCTTTTTGTCTTCGCAAAGGTGGGTCGGCGCTGCCACTTCGGCGACCGCTGCCCGAAGTGCCATCTCTGCACCAAGGCACAGGCCATGAAGCGCGTGAAGGTCTTAGGATACAAGAGCCGTCAGCAAGCCAAGGAAGCCCAACCGGCCGAAGGCTAACATGGCGGGACACAGTCCAGAGTCCAGGAGACTTCCTCCATTTACAGAACCAGACCTGCTTTTGTGGGTCACAAGTATTTCAAGTATTTAATTGATTTCCGTGCCTTTCACTCTTGGCTCAAATTGACCGGCCGTGTGGGAAGTGGGGCCCAGTGGGAAGGAAGTCGATCGACGGATCGACTTCCACTTCCGATTTTCGTGGCGCCCCGAGTCACGTCCTGTCCTCCTCTTCCACGAGATGACCCAAGTAGAGAAAGATGTCCAACTTCAACCACTGGTGGAACAAAGTGAAAAGAGAAAGCTGCTGGGAGTTGTTGCCAAAAACCAAGCACAACAAATCCTTTGTTTTCTCATTGGAGCCTTGGAGCCATCGAAACCTCCAGTTGACTGTCCAGTCACCTAGGAAAGCCATTTATGAATTGGTCCAACCTCCCCCCACATGATATGCTGCGGGGGAGTTGGTCACAGCGTCGAATTTTTTAACGATCCGCTCTTCTGTTGGCCCGCCGGCCTAAGAAAAGCGGTCGACGGACGTGGCAACCGCGTTGTCCGACAGAAAGAAGCATGGGCGAGTGAATTCAAGAATGGAAGTGCCGGGTCAAAAAGAAAAAGCATCATCTGCAAGTCTGCAAGGCTGGAGTGTCCCTATCCCCAGTTGTTTTTTCTTTTTCGATTTTTGTGTACTGTGGGAGCTTTGGAAGCTGTGGCAGCTGGCTCGCTCGCTCAGGTCACGTCCATTACGGACCGGGATCTGCAGGGCCGGCCGAGTTTCACCGAGAAGGCGGAGCAGGGAAGGAGGGAGGGAAGGACTTCTTGGGCTGGTACATGGTGAAGTTGGCGCGGGTGATGCACAGGGGAAATGCCAGGTCATGCCATGAAATGCAGGCAAAATCAAGATTTTGAGCTGGCTTGGGGGTGTGGAAGAGGGTCCACATCCGTTTGCTGCAGCTATGCAGGAGAGAGAATCCTTGGAGAGTGTTTCTTTTTGCTTGATGTTGAACATGGGGAATGTTCAATCCTAAATTGCAGACCAGTCAGGGCTGTGATTCCTTCAGAGGCACTCTTTCGAGGCCATCGTTCTTAGGTTGGAAACCATTGCTATTGGACGGGATGTTCTCATCCTCCACCTCTGTCCGCCCACGCACACCTTGGGAGGGTGGCGGGGGCGCGTAGCTATGAGCTGCGCTCAGCTGGTGCATGTGAAGAACCACTTCTGCCAGTGATCTGGCGCACTGAAGTCGCCCTTTTTGGGGGGCGGAGGTCTCTTTTGGATGACTCGCCGCTACTTCGTCGCTCGCCAGGATCGGGTGGTCCTGGCACCGCCCGAGTGCAATGAACAGGAGTGGGCTTTCCAGCGCATCTGCGCCCCTCTTCAGCCCGAACGGACTCTTGGTGCTTCTTAAGAACTCGACTCTTCTTTTCTGTGGCCAATTGGAGCAGGATCAGGATCATAGAATACTATGAGCTATGGTCAAAACATGTGAAGACCACATTTAGTAAAGAGGGGTAGGTTTGTGCACAAAATCCTGTAAAACGACAAGGTCCACCTCAAAACCGATAACCCCAGGGCTGTATATGATCATAAGTATGCGGCGAACTCGCAACACCGTGAAATGATAAGGTCAAATTCAAAACCGATAACGTCAGTCTTTTAGTTGAATGGTAATAAGTTTTGACAGAGAGAGAGAGAGAGAGGCTCAAGTTCGCCCCCACGACTTCCGAACATTTCAAGACCAGTTGGAACACGTCTCCCATTCCGATGAGCGAGCAAAAAGAGACCCCGCATCCACGGATGTCCATGCGTCAGCTTGTCGCAGGAGATGGAAGATTGGGTGAGACAAAGCGTCGGCTATGGATGTAGAAAGGGCTTGAAACCCGAGAGCCCGAACCAGGACGAAGCCGGTCTCGTCGACCGGTCGACCGGTCCGCGCGCGAGAGTGGGTATCGTCAAGTCCGGACGAGCGGATGAGATGGTTTGGTCTGGTTGGGAGGGTCAAAGCAAGGTTGAAAGCCTATAATTAGGTGATGTATAAAGCCGAACCAGGCAGAGAGCAGCGGACATGTGCGGGTAGCGGGTAGCGTAGCAACTCTTTGTTCTGTTTGTGACATGCACTTGAGGCCAATTTCTCAGAGTTCCCACCTCCCAAAGTGTGACTGGGTCTAGCTCATAAGTTTGCCAAGGTCCACTGAAACTGGTGAAGATCCTTGGTTACATACTTACATCAACCCTGTAGATTTTTGGTGCACATCGACTCAATAACTACTCATTCCACTGTCCTTTTTGAATCTCCATCCGGGCAAGGACAGCTTCTCCATGGTAATGGTGGAGAATGATTTTGCCCGTCGGTCGCATCGAATCTGCGGGCATTGGGCATTGGGGTTTTCCTGAGTGAGTGAGTTTTTGTGGACGCTGGTTGGATGTTGAGGTGGTTGCTGGAGGAGATGAATCCCAAGTCTTTGGAATTTTGTTGCGATTGGCGTCAAGATGTGTCAAAAGCCGATTTGGGCACGCGAAGGCAAGAAACTCTCATTTTGGTTTCAACATGTTTTGGGCCGTGTGACTGTATGTGGGAGATTTGTTTATTTTTTGGTTCCTCTCGCACCTCAACCAGTGAATTTGGGATGACTCCGTCGCATTCCTCCCGGGTGCCGCGGAAGTCTGGACAGTTCCATCCATCCCGGTGCCGCGGTAGCGAGCCGCTCGCCGCGTCGCGCTCTGCCCACCGAAGGTGGTTCGAGGGAAACATCGACGACGTGTGTCGCTGACATTCCGCAGGATGGGGCGAAAGCCCATCGGTTTGGGGTTTAGGGTCGGCTTTCCCCTTTCGGAAGGGGAAAGAGGTGCGGGAATCGTGCCCCTCCCCATCCATTTTGGGCTCGGTCGTCCTGGATTTGGTCACATGATATGTTTTTTGTCCCCCTTTTTTTGGTGTTTTCGGTCGGAGATTCTCGATTTTTTGTGATGGATTCTCCTCAGGCGATGTACGGTGTTTATGATGGCCATGGTCCAGCAGGCCACGACTGCTCGGACCTGTCCTTGAGGCACGCGAGAAGCGTGCGTGAGAAGCGAGAGAAGCTGCTCAAGGTTTTCACTGGGCTCTTGAAGCGCTTGAACATTGGGGTTCTAAAGAGTTTCGTTTTGGAATCAAATTCCGTGCCCATCTAAAAGAAACATCCTACCAGAGCCTGGTCCGGTTTGGCTGTGCACTTGTTTGGCGGGGTGTCGATGCACAAGTTTCTCGCAGAGAGGTCGCCTGCTAGGAGGGCTCATAGCTCCAAAGTTTGGAGTGACTTCTCAGCCTCCATGCTTGTCGATCGGCTTGTGAAGTCCTTAAAGGACAGCAACCCCAGGCAATGAACAAGCTGTTCCTTTGCCGAGCAAAATTGGGAAACGGCAAGCATCTACGAAGACTTCCTCCACTACGACTTGTGACTTGTGATTGAGACCCTCAAATTTAAAGGTTTGCAAGGACCTTTGGTAGGCTCTTGTGGTAGTGGAGCAAATCCCAAGATCAAGAGATTTGGTGCCCGTGTGCTGATGCTTCTTTGGCTTTCCTACATCGCTTTGACAGGTTCGCAAATAGGTCTTGGATGATTCCTCCTCTTCGCAGAACATGTATTGGTTTCTTCAGCATGACGCCTTTTGTAGCAATCCCATGTTTTCGAGCGGCCTTCCTTGGCCAGAAATAGCAACCAACCGGTCGACCCAGGCGATAAAGGCTGTTTCGCTCATGTGGACTGAGTACACGAGAGCTGAAAACACACCGTGATGCTGCATATTTGGGTGTTTGTGAATCTACCAATTCTAGACACTTGCCTTGCTCAAGAGGAAACAAATCGTTTTGTTTTGGTCTAGTGCAGTCTACCAGGTGTCAATTTGGGGGTCCATCGCTACTTGGTGAACAAGCGGTTTAGGGATGACCTCCCATTCGTGCAACTGTGTGCGGTCCTGAGACCCCTAAGTAGTGAATCATGAATTTTGGTTTGATAGTCAAGTGAGTCAAATAACAAACGAGCATCTCTTATCTTCAGGAATCTTACAGGAATCTTTCATTTTTTTCCGGACACTTCTTCACTTCTTCACTGTTCTCTTGAACTGGCCACCCTGTACCAGGAAGCTTTGCAGTGCCTTCTTAAACGACCCTGACCGAGAACGGGATCCTGGCGCGGTCCTCACCAAGGTGCCGTATTCGGTCGCGTGCGGTTCCTCGTTTCTCCGAGCTGATTGCTTTTTGTTTTGGGTGCAATTTGGCCAACTTGTGTGTGGTGTGATTAAGGGATCCAGATGTACATTTGAACAGATGGATTAAATAGATATTGCGGTCAGTATTGGGTACTTGATGGTATTTGTATCAACTGGGTGCCTGCAGGGAACTTAGAAAGGCCCAGCTTCACACCCCCGACCGTCACACCGGTGCCCTGGAGCACACCGAAACTCGCACGGTGGGACCCCCTCAGAAAGCCCCCCGTTTTTCGCGCGAACGAAGCCGAAACACGCGTCGGAGACGCGGATGCGCCGCAGGTTTTCCTGGACACGCAAGAGATCCTCATGAAGCAAGGGACCTTTGAGACCAGCGGTACCACGTGTACCATCGTGTGCGCCCGCGGTGCACGTGTCGGACGTGTTCTTGGCCGAAGGAACGTCTGCGGTGCGTGTGATAGGCGAAATGGTGGTGCCCGTTGCTTCAACGCGGCGCGTTTGAGAGTTTCCAAGCAGTTGATCCCAGGTTTTGAACATGTTCGAACCAAGATTTAGGGATGTGCTGGTGCTCTTGGCTGTCCTTTGACCGGCTAAAGCTAATTGGTGTGCGTTTGGGAAGCCCTTTTGGACCGGTCGTGATGTTGGCACGAGAGTGCCGACCAAAACACCAGTGTCCCAAAGTGTGAAGGTTTTCCTTGGCAGTTTCCTTTTATTCTAATAGCTTCTTGTTACTACTAGTAAGGCACTTGTTACTACTAGCGTGGCACTTGTTACTAGGAGTTTCCTTTTATATTTTCTTGCCAGGTATCATGATAAGAAGCTCGATAAGCTCACCATCGCTCATGCCGGGACGCTTAGACGCTTACGATCGGAGGGTAGAGTGCTGAGCTCACATCCAAGCGCAATTCTTTTTCAGATGGTGAGAGCTATGGGGGTTCTTACTTCCAGCATAGGAAGAGGTGAGCCTGGGTGCTGGTGCCGCTGCAGGGTGCTGCAAGATGTCTTTTTCGCAGTGTGTGGCTCGCATGTTGGTGCAGCTGCAGGGCGCTGCACACAAACATATATCTTTTGCTACTTGGGGTCTATGCTGGCGTATTCGTATAGAATTGAACACACCCAACCCTGCTTTGCAAGCAGTCAGATGTATGTGGGTTGGACATCAAGGTGTTGGGATCTGATCTTTGCCGTTGATTTGGGATGATGGCTCCCTGTTCCACTCTCCTCTCCCAACAAGGCACCACAACTGTGCAACTTCTTTAGGTCACCGTGCGCTGTTTGCCAGGTGGGTGACAGCCGCAGTGTGCTGGGGAAGAAGAAAGATGAGATGTCGCCCTGGGAGAGCTTGGAGTTGACCACAGATCATAAGCCCGATCTTCCCAAGGACCGGAGTGAACCGATCAGCCAATCGAGGAGGATTCGCACGAAAGGAATCGTTTTTTCCGGCGCGGATGGGTATCTTTGGCGGTTGCCTGTCGTTTTCGGGCGTGATGAAAAGTAGGTGGCCTAGGTTGGAATGGATAAGACTGCGGAGAAACCGACAGAAGGGCGACCAGAGACCAAGACTGTTCCACGACTGTTCTACAATTCTAGGACACATAATCCTATTTGTTGACGCCGGGAGTGTGTGCATGGCTTGTTCACACCGCCTTATTTTAAGAGGGGTCCCACAATTCTTTTTCTGAGGCTTCAGCTCGGTGGTTCTAGGGTTTATCATGACTTTATTTTCATACCAAGTCTTGCCACGCAGCTCCCATCGTCCCATCCAAAGGAGAAGCAACGCATTGAGAATGCGAACCCTCCTGGCCGTGTGGTCTTCGACGGCTGCTCGGCACAGCCGTGGAAACCCGCGCCCGGATCGCCTCCATCGGGTTAAGAGAGAGAGAGAGAGAGACTCGTCGGCCGGCACCTGCCTTGAGGCTATTACAACCATCGTGTCTTCGCGATGAACGGGATGTATCCAGGCCGCCCTGTTTGTGACATCGACAGGTCGAAAGTCAAGAGGAAAGGGAGGGAAGGTGGGAAGGTGTACATGGAGAACTTGCAAGCACACGAATTGGTCGATTTGGTACTTCCTCACTCATCCGGCCCACCCAAAGCAGAAGTTGGAAGAGGAAGCCGGACCACGGGTTCCGTTCTCCGCTCGCTCAACACACCCGTCGCCCGCTATCCGCTCGCCCATGCTTCCGTCGCTTCCGGTGTTTCCAACCTTTTCGGTGAAACATCGTGAAACTTTCCTTTCTAATAGGCACTTGTTTCTAATAGCTTCTTGTTACTACTAGTAAGGCACCTGTTCCTAGTAGCGTGGCACTTGTTCCTAGTAGCTTCCTTTTTTCGGTGAAACATCGGATTGGATGTTCTTCTTCTGCGCGGCAGGCCTCAACATGTCCCGGGCGCTGGGAGATGTGATTGCACACAAAGAGGCGCACCGGTGCGGCAAGGCGTCTTTTCCACCGGACCCACCAAGTGGTGAAGGAATCAAATCAAGAAGACAAAGGCTCATACTTGATAGGCACCAATGGCCAGCCTCATACTCCTTTTGTCAGTTTTGCTCGTTTGACGGTTCTTTGACGTTCTGGTCCAAGTGGCAAACTTGGTCCATTTGCTCAGGGAGGAATCGAGCCATGCCTTTGGATCAAACCTGTGTGGGCTATATATACCCTCCCGCAAACTAACATGGAACCTGAGAATTGACCGGTGGTTTCGACCATTTTCCTTTACCACCTGACGTGCTTTCGGGGTTCCATGTCAATTTGCAGGGGAGTAGCTGACGAATGCTGAACAGGGAGACTTGCGGCAACGAAAAGTGGGCTTTCGGCTCCTCGATTCATTCAGATGCTCCCCATAAACCTCAAGAACAAGAGCTTTTGTCCAATTGATGGGCCTTCTCCATCTCGAAGTGAAGGAAGGTTGATAGAACTAGTAGAAGGGCATATTTGTGGTTTGTGGTTAGAGACCCTGCAGACCCCCAACTACCCTATCGTCACAGGGGCACTCTGTTGGGCATGGGCAGGCGGGCCTCAGCGCCGAGCCGGACATTTGCGTCATTGACCTGAAGGTCTCGCAGCGTTCTCCGGTCGAGGGAAGGACAGCTTAGGCCGGTACGGGGGAGCTGGAAGATTCACATGGAACATGAGAAGATTGTTTTCAAAGCCAATTCAGATGACCTGCAACCTACTAGCGATGGCTCTTGAAGAATCCTCCTCAAAGCCAATGTGCACCCTCCGCATGGAAGTTCTAATCTCCAACACTCTTCGTTGTGGGAGTGGAAAAAGCTGCATGAGAGGCTACGGCAGTCACGTGAGTCACATAGGCAGGAGAACTTGCGCCCGTCAGAGATGTTTGAAAGGGACGTGCGCGCCAATGATTGGTCTCCCACCAGGCAGAGCGCGAGAAATACGCCAAGCTCATGCTGCTAGTGTGCACGGATGGCGTGGCTTGGCGAGCGAAGGGTAGTCGAGAAGTTCCGAGTAGGAATATTGGGCCGATGAAAACACTATGGTTTTGGAGGGTACAGGAGGCAAAGGCTCGTCTATGAGCAGCCACGAGGGGTGGTGAAAAGATACACCTTGACCATCTTGACCTAATAGGATGACAAACGCTTCTTTCTGCCAGCGAAAAGCGCTGATCAAGAAAGGGCAGGCTCTCCTTGGAGTCTCTCAGATGGAGTTACAGTTACATACCATCCAAATGCTTTGGGATGCTCAAACCATCTCGGATCCGGATGAGTCGGGGGTGACCGTCCAGGTCAACACGCACTGGGCACTGGGCAAGTCTGGTTATGACGACTGAGACTCCAACCTTTTCCAGCGGTCCAGGGTCTGACACGCTTGGGGAGTCCAGGTCTCTGACACTTGTGGTCACTCACTCTTGGCTTGACACTCCAGGTTTGGGAGTTCATTCTAAGCCAAGAGGCCCACCGCCGCACGGCGGTTCGACTGGCGGTGACTGGAGGGACCGAGAAGGGTCCCTCTTGGGATGGAAAGGCGGCGGTGGTCACGAAACGACGAACGGGGGTGGAGAAAGGTGTGAATACGGTGTAGTACGGTGCGGGCAACTTTCTGCTACAGTACTACAGAGGATACAAACATGCCCACATACCAAGTCGGTGCTGTTGCAGGCCTGTCGGCACGGTCTGGGGGAGTTGCGGGAGTAAAACGATGCTGGTCTTGAGCCTCAAGCTGGAGCTCATCAAAGGATCCCAAGAACCCAAGAACCGGCATTCTCGGGCCAGGCCATTAACATGGTGCAGAAATTTCCTGACTGCCAACAGGCTGGGATGGCGCCGTAGTTCGGATGGCAAGCAGAAGCCAATCCGTGTGTTGAGTCGTGCGTTTCGAGAAAAACGCTGGAAGCCCTCCTCCCTCCTCCTCCTCCCTCCTCCTCCTCCCTCCTCCTCCTCCTCCCTCCTCCTCCTCCTCCCTCCCCCCTCCTCCTCCTCTCACATCCTGCACCCGAACCATGATTGTGTTTTACAGCGCGCCACCGACGGATCGCGGTGTCCGTTTTTGTTCCTTCCAGGCAGTGGATCGGCTCATGAAGGAAAGCTGGGATCGATGGATGAAGGACTCCGACAATGTCATTGCCTCAGAGGGGGTGCAGAGGAAGAAGAAGGAAGGGCTGGCTCAAGTGTGGGACACTAGGTGAAGGAACCGCCCGGTTCCTTTCCCTGTACCCCTCATGAAAAAGTTCACATGGCTTGCACGTTTGTATGGATTTGGATCCCTGGTCATCTTTCAAAACGCCCTGGAGACAAAAGCTTCTGCACTCACTGTCCTCAGGAAATCACGGACGACATTACTGCCGTCTTGGTGCACTTGTGACCTCACACTTCCAGCGACCTCACCCCACACGGCCTCCTCCCGTGCTCCAATTCAGATTGCGAGACAGACGGCCAGACTTGAAAGGCGATGAGACGGCGGGAAGCCTCTTTTTGGGGCCTCGCCACGAGCATGTGTCCAGACATATTAGTTCCAATTCCCTTGTTATTTCCCTCGAGTTTTTCCCTGACAGGGTATATAGGTCCCAGAAACACCTGAAAGGCCACTCTGAGTCTTAGGGTTTAAGATGCAGTTCCTGGGACGGAAGGCCTTCATCACAGGCCCCAAAGGCAGGTGCCTCCACATGGGGGCTCCACGCCCGTCCGGTGCAGAGCATCAGCATGAATCAGCGGGCATCCCTGAGCAATTAGATGGTTCATGATGGTGGGGGAGGGGTTCTGGAGCTCGTTCCTCTACGTGCTCTTCGCTCCGTGGAGCATGATACAGAAGAAGAGATGCCAGCATGACTGGCATCCAAAGGTTCTGGGGGGAAGATCTCCTGGCATCAAACTTCATCCGCTCATTCTGGGCACGAAAACGAGTTCATGTTTGGTACGACAAGAGCACAGCACAGATCAATTGGTGACCAAGAAGAGCACAGCACGACGATACGTAGTCCGATACACTATAGAACAAGAGCACTTCCTCTATCTTGGGGCCCCTTTGGGATGTAGTCTCGTCGTTGCCCGGGAGGGGGGCCACTCCAGAGGATGACCGTCCTCCAATGTTCTTTTCGTGGCTGGAAGTGTAGTAAGGATGCAACAGCCACGCATGGTGATTGGGGCAAATGCTTCTAGTTGGCCATCCAGATCTATCCAGCCAAGTCAAACACCATCAGTTCGAAAATGGCACCACTGGAAGGGACTGTGTAATTCCTGTGTAATTTCCCCTGTTTCGTCGTTCAAGACTTATGATGACTTATGTAGATTCACGGCAGGTCCCACGCTCCAGCCCGAAGCAAGCTGCATACTGCGCCGAAATTCGTGCAGCGTTTTGAAGGGGAGGCACCAGACCCGCACCAGACCCGCACCAAACTCATGGGGAGTGTCCCCTCAAAACGCGGCTACTCCGGTCCCTGTGGTCACGACGACAGGGTTGCTCCATGACCGATCCATACGGGAATGGCCGGTGCGACCAGCACCAGATGGGCAGCCTTGCAGGCCTGGACTCTTTTACACGAGTGGTTGATTGGATCTGACTTGGGTTCTTCCTAGTTCTATTTTGTTGTCCTCAAATTGTAAGACATGGGACCATCCAAAGCCAGAGGAGTTTATACAGTTGTTGACATGTTCCACATTCTGTTCGCTTGAGGATGATAGCACTCGTTTGTTTTGTATTGTTGTTTCTTCCTTTTAAAATCAGGACTCACCCAGATTCCGGTGGTTTCTAGATCCTCACGCAGAACCAAGACCATTGGAACACTGAACACATCTGAGCGGTCGGTCAGCCACTGGAGCAACCCATGAGAAAGGCATCTCCAGGTGGACCATGAGCTTTCAAACTGCGATGCTGTTGATTCAAGCCCAAAGCGCGCCCAAAGCATTCACAGAACAAATCTTTGCGCTCTGCGCGCCCAGTCCTCAAAATGCGTCCATGAAGCAAAAAGTGTTTCTTGGGCTTTCAGCATCGAACAGCACGCGATGGTCTGAAAGGGGTCTTGGCGACCCTCCGTGGACTCCTAATGCCACCGCATTGTAGGTGGGTCATTTTCGAAGGCATTTCCCGCGGCGGAACTGCGCTGCGCAGCGAGAAAGAGCCGACAAAAGGGGTTTCACGCGCTGAGCGCGAGTTCCGTGGGACTCGCAGCTCACGTTAGGAAGCTTTCAAGTGATGCTTCCTGTCCCAGCCTGTGTCCCCTCAGAAAACCCTGAAGTCATCGCATCTCCTCGAGTTCATGGGAAGAGATTTGCAGTCTGTTTTGGGTCCGTGCACACGTTCGTTCCCGGTGTTCCGTGCACCGTGTTCTCACACGGATTTCTTCGGAGAGGACCCAGTTGGCCATCCGGGACCTTCCGGGACTTTCCGGGTCGTGAAAGTGAGTGGCCGAAGGATGAACGAGATACTCTCTTTGGAAAGTCAGTGGCCCTGGAATATGAAGTTGAGCTATCTACTGGGTCTTCCTGAAAACCGGCGTTGCGCCATCTACTCCCCACATAGGGCAGCAAGGCATATCAGCCTCGATAGACTAAAGTAAAAGCAATCGAGGAAATTGCACCATGTTTCTTCTTAACATTGAATAATTTTGGAAAACACAGCTGATATTGCAATTCTTGGCTGTTTTAAGTTTGCGCTATTGGGGTTGCGCCACTGAGTTTTTGCGGAGTGTAATGAAGGATAATGATAAAAGGATATGAGGATTTCCTGGTTCCTTTGAGCTTCTTGGTGAGTCACCAAGATGCTTCTAGCTGCCAAATCAGGCAGAGGCTCTTGTCCCTCTGGAGGGACCGTCTGGGGCATTTTCATCGTCGGAAGTCGCAGCTACGATGCTCTTGGCACTCAGGCCACAGGCAGAGAGGAGGCACAGCACGGACACGAGGGCGGCCTTCAAGAACTGCATCGAGGGCAGCGAGCAGATGACGTTCCAAACACTTCAAGTCAACGCTAGACATGGCTAGACATGGGACATGGCAACCGAGTAGACTCAGATGGGTCTGAAGATGTGCAACGCAGAAGTAGCAGGTCCGTTCTTCGCGGGGCCCTCATGCATCGGCTGGGCGCCGTGAGAGCACATGGCCCACAGGCCATGAGGGCGGCGCCCAGGTTTGGTGAAAGGAAGTATGAAGATCCTACTAAAGTGCATTGCTACCAGTAACAAGTGCATTACTACTAGTAGCAAATAGCTACTACTAGCTTCTAGCTACAAGTATTTTGTTTGGTGAGAGTGTTAATACACAATTGATCTTATTTTCAGACAGATTCTCCAATTCAGGTGGGATCGTGTGATTCGTTCCAACCATGGCAAGGATCAAATCTTGACTTGGTATCTTGAACTGGCAGAGCATCTTTGGACCGTCAGAGCATCTCAAAGACGGCCAGATGGAACTAGTTCGCTCCTGGGACTGCGGGGAGGTCTTTCAACATGTAGTGGGAGGATTGCAGAGACACAAAGGTGATCAAAGTGAAATGGTTTCCCTTTTTGGGTGGCACCATAAGCAAAAACCTGGTGGCCCTTCCCCTTCTGCAGCTCGCGTTTTGCACGGAACACGCGTTTCACACACGAAGTGACCGAGGGCTGGCGAGGCAGACGCCAGGCCGATTGGGACAGCTTCCCTTTGGGTTTTTCGCAGCAGTGTAGAGGAAAGAATAGTAGTAGCAGTAGCGTAGCACCAGAAGCAGGGGCGGCGGTGGTCATTGGTTGTTGGTTCATTGTCGGTGGTTGGTTGCGACTCTCATCGATGGTTGTCGGTTGTGGTCATTTTTGTGATTCTTGTGCTTGTTGTGGTTGCTGTTCTTGCTTCATTGGTCTTCTGGTCACGGTCGCTGTTACTGTGGTAGGTGCAGACGGTTTTCAGCTCTAAGCATCGCTGACCTGTACTCATCCAGTTTGGGATGATCAGCGGGTTTAGCACACCCAGGCTCGTTTCGACGGAGCCCCCACCAAGCCCCGACTTGTCGTTTTGGGCGTGGAACTTCACCGTGCTTCACCTCGTCCCGTCTTTTTTATCTTCGGGCCAACCTCACGGTTGACCTGCGGGGGCAGGTTCCATGACGTATCCGAATAGTCTCAATGAGTGTATTCGAGCTCCACAGCAATACCAAAGCCTTCCAAAGCCGTTCGAACGTGACTCATCCCCGTTTCGGAATCCGAAGAGGATGACCAGCGGAACATCCATCCATCCGACTTCTAAAGCGGAGGACTTATGCGGCCTTCACGTCATTTTCGTAGTTTTCACCTCAAGGAACCTTTAAAAGAGGTGGTGGACGTGTGACGCGAGGGCAATGTTCCGCTCCACGTGTTTTTTTAGACCAGGCCCAGGCAAACACCTGACCTCCAGACTCACGTTGCATGGAAGTGGATCACTCGTTACTTGCAAGCATTGTCATTTTTTGAGGGTTATCGACGTGACCTGTGTGATGTGTTTGGCGTACCGGGTTAAGTCAAACTGCTCACCATCCTGAGCTGGTCGCGATGTAAACGCTCATGTTAAATGGGCAGTGGCCAGGCCTGCTCCAATCTTCTTCCTGAGTTGCGAAGTGCCACATGCCATGAAGCTAGAGCTTCATAGCTTCCTCTTAGGCCCTTCGAAATCGGGCTTCCGCCGTCCAGGCCTCCTTTCAGCCGGTCCTCAACTTCCTGCGCCCGCGGCTGCGACTGCCCGCCAGCGTGGCGGCGGCTCGCGGGCCTCCGGAGGTGACGCTGACCTACGCACAGAGCGGCCCGGCGAAGCGGAGCGGAGCGAAGCGAAACGGTGATGGCTTGAAGGCGAAGCGGGAGGTGGCAAGGTATGTAAGTCGAAACTGGACATGAACCATTTTTTTCCATGTCCAGTTTGCACTTGCCTAGGTCAAAAAGATGTGGTGAAAAAGGGTTGGGAGAGGTCTTGGGATCTCTGAGACCTTCCAAGAGGTCGAGAAACGATGCAAGCACCCCCTCCGTGACCTTCAGGATGGTGAAGGAGTAGCGCCAATCAAGTTCCGGGAGTTCCCATTCTTTTGGCACCCCAAAAAGGGCCTCTTGAGAAACTGAGAAGGTCAGGAATTGACTTGTAGGGGCGCCTGCCTGGCAGCTCAGTTTGGAGGAGTCTTTTGAGGCCACCACACCAGGCTTAGCTCCATCCACGGCCGACATTCAGCAGCCTTTTTGGATGGAGCTGGTGCGTAAAGTCCACGTGGGGCTTGTACTATTCCACTGGTGGAGGTGAAAGGATCTTTCAATGTCTCTGCCTGATGATGAGGCTTGGATGGTTGCATTGCTGGGCGCACTTCAGAGCGGGAGCTCATCAGTGGCCATGCGCCTTGGCTGTTCTTGTGATGAGCGGTTGATGAGGAGGAAGGAAAGGGTGACAAATGCAGTCGCTAGTTTGTTCAGGGCATAAGACCAGGGCTTTTGCAAGAAGGTTTGAAGAGGATCAGAAGACCCATAGTTCATACAATTTCGATCGACCACAGGATTGAGACACGGTTTTTGACCGCACTGATGTTCATGGGGAGAGGTCTTTTCCTCAAACTGTTTGACACAGACCCTTCAAGTCAATAGATTTGCAATCGATAGCAGGAAGTTGCCCACAGTCTCCGCCGCGCTGGTGAACACTGTGTCCGAGCGTTGTCCTCCTGTTGTCCTCCTCTTGTCCTGCAGCTTGGCCGCCGCTGCCGGTTTCCAGACCTTGCCCTCCTGGCTGCCTCTGTTGACCCCTTTCTCGCTGCCAGCCGATCACGTCCTGGGACCAACTGCGGCCACTGTTGGGGAGTACACCCGTCTGCAAGTAGATATATATATATATTGTTTCATATTGTTTCTACTAGCTTCTTGTTACTACTAGTAAGGCACTTGTTACTAGTAGCGATGCACTTGTTACTCGTAGCTTCGAGCTACTAGTAGATATAGAGTTCACAAAGATTGGAACGAGGTGAACTGATGGGCAATGTTTTCAAATTTGGACACCCCTTGCAGATGACCTCACTCTCAAACCGATGTTCAAGCCCGCCTGAGCAACTCATGTTCTGTCACGACCAGCCTATGAGGCAGGCAAAATCAATGCCCCCAGGTCGAAATGTTTCCCCTCCAGTTTTCCTGACTCGCGGCAGAGGCATATGCTTTCAAGAGAGGGGCCTTCCAACATTTTGCTATTAGGTTGGATGCCATCCCAATTAGGTTGGAGGCCATCGCTAGTAGGTTGGAGGCCATCGCTACTAGGGTGGAGGCCATCGCTTCTAGGTTCGAGGCAATGACTCCCTCATAGGTTTCCTCACTTGGCCATTCCAGTTTCCTGACTCGGGTTCCTGATTGAAACGTTGTCTCTTGACTTTGCTCGAGTGGTTTCCCAACATGGTTCTTGACTGTGTTCATCCCACGCCTCAGTGATTGAAAGGAAGGGGTTTCTGCTGACGAGGAGAGCATGGTGATGACTCACCACTTGCGGACCATGCACGACGCCATTTTGAATCCTGGACGACGGTTAGAGATGTTCAGGTCTCCAGATGGTGTCCAACACAAACACCACAGAATCAGCAGATCAGTGCAAATCATCAGACATGAACGTACTCACAAACTGTGGTCCCCTATTGGCCCAGTAGGTTCCGATCATCTGCACTTGCTTGTGGATCAATGTTCTTCCACGGTGTTCGTCGCCGCAAAGGTACGGGTTTTCGGGCGATCGCTGGATCCTCTGCAAAGTTTCCTGGGCCATGTAGTTTTGGAAGAAACTACACTGAGTTCAGCTGGTTGTTGTGAATGCCTCATAAAATCATATGATCCCAATGGTCCCAGGTGCCGGTTTATGTGTAGTTCAGTCACTCCCAAACGGGTTCCAATCCCAAAAAGCCACCCTCCCTCTATTAGGTTGGAGGCCATCGCTATTAGGTTGGAGGCCATCGCTAGGCCGCTAGGGGCGGTTGGAGGCCATTGCTAGCCATCTCTAGCCTTGGAAGTTTCTCGTTTGGTCACTGGATCTCAGGATCGGTGTGGGCACCCTGCTCTCGGACGACCCCCGCTTGACCACGCGCCTCGTGGAGGGCCCGAGCCCCCCGGGCCGTGGTGGTGGACTCGTCCCTGCGCACGTCGGCCGCGGCGGGGCTGAAGTGGTTCGGTGCGCACCGGCCGACGGTGCTGACCACCGAAGAAGCCTTGGAGGACGACGTGGGTGAGGGAGGGGTAGGATGGAGAACGGAGAATGGAGGAGTAAGAAGATCCTGGATGGTGGGACTAGTAAGAACACACCAAGTAGAGTGCTCTTTTTGCTGAGGCTGAATGACTTGTAGTTTGCAGTTGTTTCTTCAATACTTGGCACAAGTAGCTCAAAAGCGATAGGTTTGGGAGAGGTTAAGTGAGAAGCACCGTCACAGTGTTTTGGATTCGTTCTTAGCCTAAAATGCCGGGGCAACGTGGTCGAGTCTGCCAGGTGCCTTTGCAAGAGGTCAGGATGAAGATGTGTGATGCATCTCCCCTTCAACAGCTCTGAGACTGTGAGTTTCTCTGAGTTTCTCCATGTGTTGCTCACGGTCTCAGACCCTTTCAAGCATGAAAGTCAAAGATACCTCAAGGTCCCAGTTCCATCAGTTTGACCAGTCCGGTTCGCCGGTCTGATTTTTTGCCACTGAAGGGAGGGGAAGGTGTCAGTTGATGTGTGATGCATATTGCACAGGTGATAGCTTAACATGGAGTTCTACTGCGCATTTGCAGGGCGAAGCCGGCGAAGTCCAAAGTATGCAATTGCCTTCACGTGGAGGCCATTTCGACGCCATTTTGCAGGCTTTGCAGGCTCTTTTCGCCGTCCGCCAGCACGCGAGCCAGCACGCGCCAGCGCCCCCGCGCGCGCGCGCGCGCGCCAGGAGAACTGGTCCCAAGTGCGCGCCTTGGAGCAGCGGGGCTGCACCGTGCTGGCGGCGCCGCGAAGCCGTTCGGGCCGGGTGGCGCTGGAAGACGGCCTTTGCCGGTTGAAGGATCGTCCGGAGAGGAAGGGGGTGTGGACGGTGTGGACCACGGAGCCGGGAGACACTTCGTGGAAGTGAGTTTACATGGACATGTAAGGTGACTGGAGCAAGATCTACATGTTTGGTGCATTTTCAAGTTGCATCTATGCTGAGATGTGGGAGTTTGTACCAGAAATTTGCATAGTTGGACCATTTGCAAGGGTGCACTATGCCTCCCAAGTTGGAGCTCAAGCCCCAGCATTGTTCCGATCCTGGAAACTCATACCGTTCGCCGTCCGCCAAAGAATCCCCAAGACCAAGATCCATGCGGATCCTTTCCATCGAGGAGGATCTGGGCTGCCAGTCGGTGATGGTGGAGGGTGGTCTAGCGATGATCGCCAGTTTCTTGGAGGAGCCAAGCTTGGCCCCCCTGGCACGAACCGAGCTCAGACTGGGAGGGTGTAGGAGGGAACGAAGTGAATGAATGGTGAGGCACATGTGTTCCTCAGAGACCCTTAAAAGAGGTGGCTTTACGAGTTGAAGACTCCCCTGCATCTTGTAGAGCATCCGAGCTCCGATCTATTGTTGGTTGTCAAGATGGTGGTTGAGCCAAACATGGAACAAACGGACATGGGATGTGGATGGAAGTGGTGTGCCTGGGGCTGCCATGGAACAATAGTTGTTTCGAGCTCTGAGCACCTTCTTTCCTTGCTTCTGCTGAAACGCGTGCACAATCATCCGGTTAGGCCCTTCACGGTGCGTCTCGGAGGTTTCGTGTTGGAGGAAGCAGACTTTTAATCTAGATTGCATTCTGGATCAACTGCATGTAGGACTACCCTCTCTGAAACAATCATGGAAGATCATGGAAGCGGACCATGGCCCCTGGAAAGATCCATTCTTTTCCTCTACAAACAGAGTATTGTGCACTTCCATGTTTGTTGGAGGGAAGGTATAGCTTGGATCCCTTTTTTTTACAATCAACCTCCTCGATGCAGACACATTTTTTGAACCTTAAACTACCTCAAACCGCTTCTTATCTTTGTGACCCCCTGTGGCCGCCATCATTTTATCGGCGCTTCTCTCCGGTTACGACTTCTGAAGGTCTCCAACCTGGTCGTGACGGTGAGCCCCAAGTTCCTTGGGGGCTATGGGCCCTCGGCCGAATTGGTCCAGCGCCCACAGCAGAGCTTGCTAAGCATTAAGATGCAGAGCTGCGCAGTGGGAGAGGAGCGACAGAAAGAGGAAGAGAGACTTGGGTCATTGCGCAGTTTTTTCTTATCTTTTTCTTTAAAGCCACTAGTAGCAAAAAGGCCATCGCAAGTAGGTTGGAGGCCATCGCTACGAACGGAGCAAGAAGCTACGAACATAGCGATTATGTCAATGTCTTGACCAGAGCCGTCTCCACTTGCGGATGAAATCAACGAGTTTCACCAAATTGAAAGATTGGATTATCTTAAAACGTGTAGAAGCAGAGTCCGGGATTTCTTTGGTGATATGGGCGTTAAATTGGCACCATATTCGTTCCAATGATATCGCATTGTGCACCCTGAAGCCTGATGCCTTTAACTTGTTGAAGGATGGCCCTACATCGCCTACACCTGTCCTGAGCTTGGATAGTCAATGCATGTCAATGCCCGCACCATTCACCCTCGAATCCGATCCGACGCTCTTCTTCGCCTCTCGAGATGCGGGATCCGCAGGATCTGGTGATCTATGGTGCTCCGAACACGTCGCACCTCAACGGCCACAACGGCACCGCCAGAGAAGAGCTGCCGGGGAGCTTGGACGGAGGACGTGGGTGGGGAGACCCGAGGACGTGGACGACCTTTCGTGGGATTCTTGGAGGTCCATGGTGCGGTTCAGGACGCTACCGCTAGGAGCAAGGACGCTACTAGGGGCTCCTGGCATCGCTACTAGTAACAAGTGCCACGCTAGTAGTAACAAAAAGCTATTAGAAACAAGTGCCTTACTAGTAGTAACAATAAGAATTTAATTGGAGGTCCATGGTGCGGTTCAGGATGTGTGCCACATTGGGGGTTCAAGTTCAGGAGTTTCCCCCCGGCCCACCGGATCCCCCTTCGAGAGTCACCGGATCGTCTAGTTTGGGAAGCCGGTGGAGCGGAACAAAGCCTTTGGCTGCTTTGCCCTGTTGGACTGAGGGAATGGCCAATAAACCTAATAGGAATGGCCTCCAACCTATATAATAGCGATGGCCTCCAACCTAAGAGCAACCCCTGTTGCTGAACCTGTTGGACCAAGGAATGGTCATGCGCCTGAGGCGACATGCTTGTCCAGCAGCTGCCGGATGTGGATCGAGGCAGAGACCTCTGTGGGAGAGTGGGTGCCACCTAAAGCCACGGTTTTTTGCTGGTATCCAATTTCCAATTTCTGTTAAGTCTGAACATCAACATATTTATACATACATACATATATATATATTTATAGAATATTTTAAAATGGAATCATGCACCGCCCGCAGACTCACATGACCCTGGCATTTCACCCATGAAAGTCCATGTAATCCTCTGCAGGAGGGTATGTCGTGCAGGATCTCCCTCGCTCCATCGCACATCGCGGGCTCCGCGTTCGCGACTCTGTTGTCGGTCCACAGAAATTCCTCGTTTGTGCCGTCATGGAGCTCGGCTGGGTGCTGACTCATTTTAAAGAGCATACAGATGTATACAGTGAGTATGTTCTGTGGGCCATGAAGGTGGATTGAGTGGTGTGGATGTGGAAGTGTGAGAGCCAGCCTTCTGCCAATGGAGTTCTACCTCCAGTTCCTTTGGAGCAGCAGTCCATGCGACGGATCTCCGAAATGGAGATTCTCAGATGTCAAACACGTCTCCAATGTTTTCAGTGCAAGTGAGAATCCTACCACTTTCCGAAGAGGTTGGGAATCTGCCGACGTTTGGGGCTCCTCCGAGCCACCTCCACGACCTGCGCAGACTGACATCGATCCAAGTTGTTGGGTGTTTTCCTCTCTTCGCAGTCTCAGGCGACGTGACGTCACCCTCACCCCGGGGGTCTTTTGGGCGAATGCCTCCAGCGCTTTTCTTTCGAGAGACGTCTGCAGCTTCTTCCGCGCCGCCGCGGCGGCTTCGGGGTCTGCGGCGAGCGCCGACGGAGGAGCGCTCATCTGCTGAGCCGGATCGAGCTCCAGTTCGAAGCATCGCGTGACCGTTCGGTGAGCATTCTGCATGACCCAAAGGTAAAGTTTAGCCACCGCTGTACGAAACTCACCATTCACTTTTCCTTGCAGCGCTCGCTGCGGTACCAGACCCTCGTTTGAGGCTCCAGACCGCACTCTCGTCATGCAGACCAGCAAAGTTGTTGCCTTATTGGCTAGCTCACGATGCGCTTGGCCGATAGTAAGAGTTTGCAGCCGATGACGAACATCCTACAGTAAATGCCACTGACGGTGCGCGCCCATAGTATCCACACTGCGGGTTTCCAAAGCACACCCTCCACAGAGTCACAGGACCTAGGTTTGCTTGGAGCCCCCCGGCAGTTCACATAGGTGTCTTGGTGCCATCCAGGTCTCGCAAGACGGTCCGCCTCCGCGATCTGGCCCCTTCTCGCCACCATTGTTGGTTTACAGGGACTCGCAGATCGCCTGTGCTCTGCTTTTGTCCACAGAGATCACGAAGATCTGATCTCCACCCCTGACTTTGTGCTCCAATTCATGGTGCAGGTCGTACGGTCGATTGGAATCACTAAAGCAGGAAACCAAGATGAAGGAATGGAGGCATCATATGGTAGTTAAGGGAAAGAACAACGTAACCTAACCGATATTCCAGCATCATCAAAAAAACGGGTGACTAAGCTGGCCAACTGCTTGGCTTGTGCTGAACTTCTCTATTCAAGCTACCATCGTTTTGGATCCAGTTGCCTAAGTGTTTGAATAGGCTCTGGTTCTACGATGGGCGGCATGCTCTCGTTGACTCAATGGGAACAGGAATGCCACAGCGTCAACATAGCGGCGAACGCATCCAGTGGCCCTGGGCCAGTTGGATGCAAGACGACCTGCGACTTGCGATCGGAGCGATCGGACGCGGCCCGATCGGGGGCTCTTTAGACATTCATTCTTCCGGACACAACTGCCTGGACGAACATTGATCAATACTGCAGGGATGGAAAGGCAACATCGTCAAGAAAGGGCACTGCTTGAGAGATGGCAAGGTTACTTGCTATGCCTCCATCCGCAAGAAATCCGGAATACTCTGTGTGGTTTTTATCAACAACGCCTGGCACCATAGCTCTTGACACTAGCTCTAGAAAACCAGTTTTCAGCCGTCTTGGCCACGCTGGTGAGGCCATCGAGTCTGAGTGTGATCTACAGGCCGTTTTTTCGGACGTTGGGATCGGAGGTTCGTTGGGTGGTTCCTATCTTGACATTGTCAGTTGTGTGATGCTTTGACCGCTAGCTATAGTATGCTATAGTTGTATGATGTGCCTCAATGAAGAAGTCTTTGAGGTTTGCCTACCTTGGCTTAATTCACGAACGTGGTTGCTGGGCAACCACGAACATCCTGAGAGGCCCTCACTGAACCATTCGCACAGGGCAGAGGTCAAGAGTCAAGGTCCTTTTTATAAGGCCACTGGTGATTCTTCCACACTTCCCCTTTAGCTTGGAGGCCATCGCTCTTAGGTTGGAGGCCATTAATTTTACTCTCTTTTGCTATTGTTACTTTTTGCCTCTCACATCTCTCACTCTACTCCCACCATCCGGCCACCTCCTCTCGCGCGACCGTGTTGCCTCGACCGTGTTGCCTCGACCGTGAGCCGTCGTCGAACGTCGGCGAGGTCTATCGAACGCCCAAGCAGGGACAGGAGATCGTCGCGCTGATCAAAGGATCCGTGGCCGGTCGTCACGATGTGCCCGTGCCTTGGGCGTGAGTTGAGTCGTGTGCCCTTTTGGGTTGGGGAGGCGGAATTGGAGGTGAGGTGTCCTGTTGTGTTGCGGTGAAGAGACGTGATTTTCCCAACGAAAATATTTTCAGGAGTCTTCGGATCAACAGGAACTGCCCAATGTTTCCTTGGATTCCCAACCCAGTTTCACCAAATTTACTGTTACTATATGTTACTATAGACCTGATCAACTTAATTCCCAAATTCGTTCATCCAATTCCACGATGATGATGCTTCCGCCAGCGGTCCATCGCTCGATGGACCGAGAAGCCGACCTGAGGTCCGGGTCCATTCGGAGTGCTTCACGGGGGATGTGCTGGGCTCCAAGCGCTGCGACTGTGGACCACAGCTGAAAGGCAGAGGGAACCGAGATGGAAGGGAGCGGAAGGGAGCACAACAACAACAACAACAACAACAAGAAGAAGAACAAGAAGAAGAAGAAGAAGAAGTAAGAAGAAGTAAGAAGTAAGAAGAAGAAGAAGAAGAAGAAGAAGAAGAAGAAGAAGAAGAAGCCGCTTAGGTGTTTGACCAACCAACAAGCTCATGCAAGTGGCGGTCAGGTTGAAGCCGGTGGTGGTCAACGCTTTTTCTTGGGATCACTTGTATGGGTGATCTCATCATCGAGGTCAGTGATGGACATCGTGAATCATGCATGGTCTCTCGTGCACCTTCAGGTTCACACGTTCATCTTTACTTGGTGTACGGTGTACTGTATCTGTTGTCGGTTAGAAGTTAGAACTGCATCTTCGTGTATTTACCAAAGCCTATTCCCAGAAGAGAATCAAGACTGTTCTTTGGGGTTCCATCAAGAGAATTCCACCAAGTTTGGAGCTTGCTTGTCTGAAGGATCTCTAGAACAAGAGCTGATTCTTTTTGATCACCCACAAACTCAGGACGCAACCAACTTCTGAAGATCCAACCCATGTTTGCTGATCCTGGCTGGCAATGCCCCCGCCTGCCAGCTGCCGTCGGCTTTTTTTGGGGGTGCAACATCCAAGACCACTCAACACTCCTCGGAATGCCCGCTGTTTTTCGAGCCACCGAAACGACCTCCGGAACGCTCGTTGGGACGAGGTCTTTTGGATATTTTTTTTTTCCAAGATGTTTTTCTCAAGAAGGTAGGAGCAAATAGCTACTAGTAACAAGGGCATTACTACTTGGAGCGATCGGACGCTATGAACGGGGCTCCTGGCCATACTACTATAGGAGCAAAAATAGCTACTGGTCTCACAGAATTCCCAGATGCAAACAGGAAGACCCCCTAAGTAGTCGAAGGGTGCTGGACTTCCTTGGCTCCTTGGCTCCCTCGCAGGTCTGCCAGCTGTTGGTTTTTTTGGGCTCCCCAACCAGAGAGGAATCATGTTCATTCGTTTGAATACAGTATACAGCTATAGATTGAGATATCTAGAAGAACATGGCAAAGTATGTTTGTCTCTAAAGAGGACTGGGCTAGATGCCGAGCCTTCTTATAAACCACATGGACCACCTTGCAGATGTACAATGTAGGGTTGAAACACTGTTGGAAGACAAACCCTTGTTACTAGTAGCTTCGTGCTACCAGTAGCGATGGCCTCCAACCTACTGGCGAATGGCCTCCTCCAGTCTCTTCACGATCCACCTCCCCCGGTCCTACATCTTGGGGGCATTTTCCAGCCCCCACGCCTCACCGATAGGCTTTTTGGACATCCTACAGAAGGAGGTGAATGGCGTCTTGCTATACATTCGAGGCGATCGCCCATCGGGGCGGAACCGCGCCCAGGGTGAGACGATCGATCGTCGCTTTCCGGGTGATCTGAGGAGATTTGGGTGGCGAACTGGGCGTGAATCACATCGGAGATTCATGGGACATGTATTGGCTCGGAATCACATCCCTTCTTGGAGACATGAGCTTGGATTGAGGGTTTTCATATGTTTTCATGCTAGCTTTTTTCAGACCAGCATGCCATGGGACGGGGGGCTCATGGGGACTTGCCTGCGCCTGGAGGGGACGAAGGCCGAGGGATTGGCTTGGTGGAAAAGATCCGGGCCTATGAGCTCCAGGAGACCGGGCGACGCCGGTGGCTGGTGAACGAGGAAGCCGGTGGCTGCGAGCCGGAACAAGGTTGGTGAAAAAAAGGGACGAAAAAGGAAGAAGACAAGTGAACCCATGGCTTTCATATCGAGTGAAGTGAACCGCTGAAGTTCCCCGCATGGGTTTTTCATGGGCAAAAATCACCCACGGACTTGACTGGTGATCACCACTATTTGGCTTGATCAGCCAGACATTTCACTTCTGCTAGATGGAATTTTGTGTGGGATGCCCTTCGACTTACTTTGAGGCTCTTTCAACAAATTGTCCTTTGAAGCTGTGCTGTTAGGTTTGAAACGCTTGAGTTCATCTAATTCACATTGCGCATGACAAAGGCCCCTCATCTTAGGAGGCTCTCGATGGCTCCATTTGGCCTTTCCTTGCTCGCAACCAGGCAGTGTGTGATGTGTGCTTGTACCCACTAAAAAGAGCTAAGCCTTCTCTAAGGGTGCAGACCACCCGGTTTGTCTTAGGTTGGAGGCCATCGCTACTAGGGTGGAGGCCATCGCTATTAGGTTTCTCTTTTTATCTTCTTTCTCTTCTTTTCCATCCATTTCTCCATGACCCGCGGTGGATACTTGCAGACACACAGCAAAGAACCTGTTGAGCAGTTTCATACCTATCGACTGAGGTCCATTCGGCAGTCGACCATCTGCATTTCAATTTGGTGTAGAGGCGCACAACAGCCACACCAGCACCACCCCCAAAAATGGTGCTTGGATGAGACACACATGGGATTTTCTTGGTCAATAAACCACCCGAGCGGGGTGGTGCTGGCACTGGTTTCTGGTTTTGAGTCCCGTGCAGATGAGCCCGCCTGTGCCGCAGGAGAAGGGCCTGGATACCGTGACCTGACGAATCTCATGGGGGGTGGCAGTGCGCGAAAAGTGTCATGGACTGGTTGAATACTGAGAGGAACCACCACTGGTTGACTAGGGTATCTCAAACATCACATGTGGTGTCAGAGGATGTCAGAGGTCCAGTTGGTTGTTTCTTCTCCATGATATTCTTTTTGAACCAAAGCACCCGGAACCACAAGACCTCCTACAAAAGCTGTCATGCCAAGCAGACCTTTAGGTTCCTGTATTCGCAATACAGTGGTGGTCAGAAGGCAAGACTCCCTCTCAAGATGGCCTTGTCATATGGGACTTGGAACTTGGGTGTAGTGTTAATATCATGTATCATCAAACACCTTCCAACACCCCGTGTGTTCTTTTTCGGACTTTTTCCCAACACCGTTCGGCCAGCGGAACCCGGTCCGTCCGGTCGTGGCCGTTCGCTCTCCGCTTCGCATCGCAGATCGACGCCAACCTCTCGTTGGGCCACGCCGCGGACTTGCGGACCTTCGAGAGCTCCAAGGAGGGGAGATCGGGACTAGGTCCGGTGTTCAAAGAAGTTTTATCCAGGAAACATAGGATAATTAAGTTCTTTCTTCTGACAGGTTTTGGGAACATGTCAAGCTTGTATATCAGCTTGGTTTGAATGCACATTTCATGTAGGATGTGATCCATTTCAGATCCTTTCACTCGATTTTCTCCAGGTTCTTGTGGGGGAGTGTTTGTTTCGCTTCAAACGAAGTTGCTTGGTGGCTCCAAAAAAACACACATCAGACGTTGTTGCGCTCTTCACGTGGCAGCTCCTTGATGCTTGGAAGTAGAATGGTTGATCCATATGATAATCGTCCCCGATCCCCCGTGAATGTTCCTCTTCAAAATGCCACTCATTTGACTCTAGATCAACTGGCGACCGGCGACGTCGGTCTTGTTTCCACCGGGCCCTCCGCCGCGGGCGTTCAGAGCTGCCAGGAGGTGTTGCAGCAGCTGGGCGTTCAGAGCCTCGCCACGAAGAGAAACGCTTTCCGCCGAAACGGTGCGGAGGGCGATCCAAAAGCCCACAACGCTCCAGGCTACAACGGTCCGTACTAGGTACGGCCCTGGTTGGCTTTGTATTGGCAGCCATGGGGCCGTAGTACGGGCCATGTAGGGCCCATAGTAGTTCTTGAGTATTTCAACAAGTGTTGTCATTGAGCACCCGATAGAAGCGTGAAAGGAGAAAAGAAGGAGGTAGATGCTGAAGATTCAAAAAACACGGCGCAGTCCCCCCAGTCTTGGCAAGTCTTGGTCAATCCCCGTTGTCCACCGCCAGTTGGGGTACTTTGCACTCTTCAGACGCCCTGCCCAGAGACGATTGAACACCATGGGCCATCCTGTTTTTCGTCCGCACTGGAAGGACCAACGTCGATTCATTTTCAGCCCCGAAAAACGACTATGGACCCTGAGAAGGAAAGGCCACTGGGTTATGGTCACAATGCCAAACCAGTGGTGAACCAGGGGTGAACAAACCACTGGTCCTTTCGTTTTCGCGTGGGGCGTGTGTGGGGGTTGGCATTGGCATGGATAGAGGACCAGACGGACCCGATCGGTGGTTGAACATCGCTTAAGGTCCATCAAGCTTTACACCAACAATCCGGAAAAGGTGGAAGCATTAAGACCGTTGGCCCGTGACTTGGCGATGACGAATGGGTGCAACGGCATCATCAGGATCGCAGATCGCGACACCTCCTCTACTTTGGTTTCATCTCTGCACCAATAGGTTCGTGGCATTGACACACTCGGTGGCTGCCTCACTCACATCCGGATGACCACCGCAGAGCTCGGTCAAGGCTTGCCCCACGGGTCTCGGTGCCGATCGTCCTGATCGAGGTGAAGTGTGCCCCCTGGAGACGGTGCCGAACGAGCACAACAAGAGTTATTTGATGACCAAGCGGGATCGGCTAAATCATAAGACCATCCTGCGCGTGCTGCCGAGACCCACTGAAGTCCGCGCGCCGCGACCATCCGCTGAAGTGAGCTGTGCTTCGAGCTGAGGTTGCGAAGGAAAAACGCTGAGAAGATCATGGGGAAGGTATTATAAGCGTTGATGGTCAGACTCCTAGTTGGTTATAAATGTCAGGTGCTGCAGGTGGAGAGGAGCAAGACTTACACGAGAGGAAAATAAAGACCAATCGCACCTGCTGGGGAGACTCTGCCAACTTCCTTCGCTTTCCCTTCGAGGCTTGGGATTCATCAGCGACAACTTGTAAGCCTTCCACGTTGAGATCAGGTCGAACTCGGAAGGAAATGGCACATCATGGAACGTTGAGATCAGGTCAAGGCAAACAAGATGAACCCTATCAACTAGCCAGCCGCAGTTATGTGGGTTCTTTGGTCCTCTGCTCCTCCTGTGGCAACCCCAAGATGGGAGACCCACCAGCAGGAAAGAGATGGAAACAGCGAGAATACCTTGAGAAGTATGGTCGCTGCAAGTGCAGGCAAATGTTTTCGTTTAGTGACGTGCCTTTCTTGGTTGCAACCAAATGAAGATTGCTTTTTGTTCTCCTGGTTTTGGTATCCAAATCATGTTGTTGCAAAGGGAGCTCTTGTTTGAAAGAGCCTTCCACGAGTTGTCGATATATGGGGACGTTGATCTACTGTTTGAACACCCGTTTTGAGGTTTGCAGGTGTTTGCAGTGTTTCTTGGTGTCCGGAATTTCCATGGCCGTCGATTTGAACGTGGATGGACGATATCTCTTGATAGCTAGCGTGGCGGAAGTTTGGAAGGATGAGCTTTCTGTCAAAGCTGAAAGAAACCCTAGTAGCGATGGCCTCCAACCTACAAAAAGCTCTCAGAGTCGACTCATCACGGAACTTCCCGGGTAACGCTCAAAATTGGAGGAAAACATGCCATTCCACGTGGAGGAAAACCCATACAGATTCTTTCTCACATGGAGAGCTAGACTCCATGTTTTGAGCCAAGCCCGCCTGGCCAAAGTGTTTTTTCTGCTTCGGGTCCAAGACCCCTTTGCCCGAGGGTCGGTGTTTTTCTCTTCGGCTGGCCGAGCCAAAATCGATTTGGCACGTCTCGAGCGATGAGCATTCGGATGTCGGGTTTGATTTGGGCAGACATCGGAGATCTTCTGGCAACAATCGGAGAGCTGAGGGGGCGATCGGGTTTGAACGTCAATCTCACATCCAGAGAATGAATGCTTAGAACATCTTAGAAACATGTAGATCACTTGCCAGTACTGTACCGGAAGGGCACTTCATTAGCCAACATGTTGTGTGTCTTTGGGAAGTCGCCGGGTAGATACTAGTAACAAGAAGCTACCAACAGTTGGAGGTCATCACTAGTAGGGTGGGCCTCCATTACTACTAGTAGCAAGAAGCCACTAGGTTGGTAACAAGTACTTGCAGTTTCTTCTTGATCGCCCTCCGTGCTTCTAGTTGAGGCGACCTTCGGCTGTGGCGAGCCACTGCCGAGTGAGTCTGAAGATGTACAGGTGAAAACTCGAACAGTGGACGGCCATACCTCTTCTATTGCAAAACACAAGAAGTAAAAAGAAGCTACTAGGAACAAGTGCATCGCTACTAGTAACAAGTGCCTTACCCTCAGTAACAAGAAGCTGCTAGTAACTAAGGGCATCCCTACTAGTAACAAGATGCAACAAGTGCTATTGGTAACAAGTGCATGGCTACGAACGTAGCAAGAGGCTACTAACAGTTACCGTTTCGTGGTTTCCTATCGAACGGTCAAAGGAGATGTAAAAGGGGCCCTGGTGCGATGGCGCGCTTGGCGAAGGTCTGGGCTGAGTCGGCCTTCATGCAAGGGCGAAGACCACAGCAGGAGGGGTTGGAAAAGGATTGGTCTTTTCTCGGGTTTTGCAACTGAGAGATCCTGAACGCATTCTTTGTCACTTTATCGCATCTTCTTTAGTCAAACGCGTTGAATATCAGGGTACCCCTTAAGGAATTCCACCATGTTACATGTTGAATAACATATGTTTCGTCCGAGGCCAACGGGCCCAGATCTGAATCCACCTGTTTTCAGGAGGAACAAGGGCATCGCTAGTAGTAGCTTCTTGCTGCTAGTAGTAATGGCCTCCAACCTACTAGCGATGGCCTCCACCCTAGTAGCGATGGCCTCCAACCTAGTAGCTTCTTGTTATATACTTGTAGTAATGCACTTGTTACTAGTCTGTTTTCAGGAGGATCGTCATGTGAAGATTCTGGACTTCACCAAGGCAGCACGCAGCTGCTCGGAGCAGACCGTCGTTCCGCGCTCCTGTTGCGGAGTGGTTCCTGGAACGATCCCATCGAACAGTGTGATCAGGCTGTTTGCACGGCAATTCAGGGATAAACACTGGGATATATATGTATATAATACCGCATAATACCTGGTTCGTCTCACAACAAGACGAGGCCACAGCTCACGACTCATGCTCCCATTCCTCCATGACTGTCCTATTTCACTGGCACGGATCCATGAAACCGTCCTCCACGTCCTCCACGTCCTCGTCGAGGTTTGCAGCTGCCCATTGATCATCTCCCACAGCCGTGTTCCTTCATGGCCATTTACGACGGGCACCGAGGCGGGCGCGGCAGAACGAGCGACGTGGATGGAAAGGGTCGTTCGAACGGAACACGGTGGGATGGAAGGGTTCTGAGTGGTTGGATTGGATGGAGGTCACAGTCAATTGCTTGCGAAGGCGATTGCGCAAGCGAAGGGTGTCCTGTTCTTTTAAGATTTGTGAAGGATCGGACTATCACCTGGCCCTAATGGGGTGGTGCGTCACAAGACTCCAGAACACGACAAGACTCCAACATGTAACAACCCCAGCATCAAAACAGCATCACTGTGACGCGTCGTCACTGTGACCGGTCGTGACCGGAGACTGGTGATGGGCAGGACCAGTGTGCGCAGACTTCGTGGCCAAGAATCTGCACTTGAAGCTCTTGAAGCATCTCAGCGCAAAGGCCACAGATATCGCCAGGGACTCAGGTGGAGGGAGGGGCGAGAACAACAGGAGTGAAGATGGAGAAGCTGATAGAAAGGATCTGACAACTGGTCTGGGGTGCAGGCTGAAGCCTTCCCCCTTTTGATCTTTTTGGCATTTCCCGAACACTTGCTCCAAACAACATGTGGCCCCTTCGCTGGGCCAACCGGCACCAGTTTGACCGAAAAACCGCTCCACAGTCGGCCTCCGGCCTCCGCACTTGAGGCGTCGGCCATGAGAACGGCCTGTGAGGAGCTGGATGAGGACCTGGGAGGGCCTGGGGGTGTTCAGGAGTGTCTGGGGGTCAAAGGGCTTTTGAGAGTGTCGAGTTGGGATCCGCTTTTCCTTTTTCAGGCTGGGCGGCCAATACAAAAGGCCGAGTCACAAAGGCCGGTGATGGAGTGATGCGTTGCGTAGTGATGATGTCGGTGGGTCCGATTTTCCAGATACAAAAGGACGATCCCTGTAGTTGTGGCCATTTTTCTCCGACCAGACTACTAGGAACAAGAAGCTACTAGGGGCTCCTGGCAGCAAGGACGCTACTAGTAGCTCCTGGCCTTACTACTAGGAACAAGAAGCTACTAGTAACAAAGGGCATCGCACTGTTCACCCTAACAGGCCCTAACATCCTCCAGTCTGACGAAGGAGTTCCTGCAGCGGCACCGGACCTGTTTGGATGGCTGCACTGTGGTGCTGGCACTCCTGACGGGTGAAGAACTACATTTGGCATGGCCACTACGTCTGGTGACGGGGTTTTATGCGGAGTGGGATGCCACTCAGTGAGGCTTTCTGAGTTGCAATCCCAACTTCATAGAAACCTCTTATCTACTGGGTTCTTTCTTGCCATCTAAACCCATATAATGAAGTGTTTCTCAGCACACTCAACAGAGCTACCGGATTCCTTCAGATGCCGAACAAACATTCGCTCAAGCTCACAAAAGACCCCAAGAGGATTAGATTAGATGGGTGATAAACGAACATGTCTGGAATCCAGATGAGTTTCCTTCACAATGAAAAAACCATCCCTTTTTCCTCCCTTTCGACCTCCTTCGGCCGAGGCTCGGTGATTCCCGAGCGCTCCTCTCAGACACTGAGAAGCCACATGCGGTCTGCGTGACGCAGGACCATCGACCCTCTGTCCGGAGCACCCAGACTGAGCCTGACCGATCTGTTTGGGTGTCCACACCGAGCTTATTTATATATCTTGTTCTTTCCTTTTTTTTGGGGGGGGGTGATCTTTTTCATTCTTTTTCATGAAGTACAGGACTTGGGTCCACCAAAAAAGCATCAACCTCCAAAAAGGTCATCAAATCCACACGCCTTTGTTTTCAAGACCGAAGATTGAGACCGCACGACCAGGTGTGCGATCTCGAAAACGGTGGGTCTTCTCGGATGGCCCCCCCTTTTGCGAAGACATTTGGATGTTTTGAGTATTTTTGAGTCATCTTTTCACACAGAACTAGGAGCAAGAACGCTACTAGGGGCTCCTGGCCTTACTGTTACTAGGAACAAGAAGCTAC